GGCTTTCCGAACCTGATGTCGGATCATATATATATATATATATATGTATATATATATATATATATATATAATATTATATGATACATATGTGGTTTCGACTGGAGGGGAACTAGTTTACAAAGTCCTTGATTGAGTTTACCGCATCTTGGCCAAGCTGCGAGCCCGATATCCCATGAAGCCGATGCAAGCGGATGTGCAGACAAAAGTCGTACCTTCGGGTTTGTCAGGCATCCTCTCCTTCTACGGCGCAGGATTACTCCTGTGCGATGCCATGGCGGCCTTTGCAGAGGAGGGACGGGCAGAAGCACAGTGTCTTTCGGCTCTGCTTGTGCGGCTACTGGGCAGGTCAGTCTGCATGAGCTGGACCTCAGCCTAGACGAGGCCTGCGAGCTGTGCACTTCAGATTTAGAATTTAGACCCGACCTCGACTGTTCGAAATGAGATATGGATAGGGGAGCACCGGTGACCAGTGTCGTTCGTGCTCTCTTGGCATTTAGCTCAGTCGTAAAGCTATGCCTCAAATGGCCCCAGCTATTACGGGCCGCAGTAGCTGGGGCCAGAAGTTGACTGTTCACCTTCAGTTGCACAGAAAGAGCAAAGGTCCGGTTGTGCTGGGCGAGCAGGGCATGCATGTATGGCCCCAACTATTACCCTAAACCCTAAACCCTTAACTGCCCGAGATCTGAAGACTCATCTCTCCTATGTTTATCTATGCTGCACCGTCTCAGAGGGCATGCCACTGTACAGTTGAAGTACTTCAGGTGCTGTGTACCAGGCCAGCCACGAATGGAGTCTGAGTATACTGCTGGTGTGTACTTCTTTTGGTCGTGACTTCCGTCCTGTGACGAGTCTGGCTTGGGCAGGTCAAGGTCAGCACAGATCCCTTTGTCAAAAGGCTGCGAGTAGTCTGTAAACACATGGTGTCTAGGCTTGCGTGGTTTTTTAGTATACCGTGGTAGTTGAGTGAGTAGTGTGTACTGTAGGATTTGCGGCCGACGCCGGTTGTGTTCTGCAAAAGGGAGCCTGGAAGACAAGTGGTACGGGGAAGGTAGTGGTGTAGGTGGTGAATCGCCCTCGGTGTGCATCCTCAGGCTCCCTTCCCACCAACATGGTATTCCAGACCCTTCAGGCGAAGGAAAAGAGGATAAAAAAAACCCCTAAACCCTAAACCCTAAACCACAACTATTAGGCTGCCCGCAGTACCCCCTCCAACTTGTCGGAGAACTTGTGCTCCATGGAGAACTGGTGGTGACATCGAAGCACAACTTGCCCTCTCCCCCAGCTTTCTCTTGGGCCAACCTGCCCAAGATTTCTGCTCCAAACACCTACGAGGAAGAGTTGCTTACACTTCTGAGGATTCTGCCTAGGCCCAGCAGGGGCAATGAAACAAGTTTCAAAGCAAACAGTGGCAAGAATCCGGCAACAAGGGGAATCGTAGTCATTGGAACTACTCGCACTTCCAGTGCGAGTAGTTCCAGGACTTGCCGCCGTCCCCCGGAACTTCTTCGGCCGACCGGTCCGCGAGCCAGCCAGCCCCAAAGCCCACATGTGGGTGGTTGTCAAAATTATGGTCTTGTTTTGAGGCCTTATTATAATACGGCACCTATTATTTAGGGTACCCCAAAAGGGACCATAATTTTGACAACTACCCATGGGCCTAAATCATTTCTGAGAAGCCCGAGGAAGAGCCGCTTCTCCCCAGGCTCAACAAAGGCAAAGGGAAGGGAAGGGGCAAAGATGAAAAGACAGGGGCTTTGGCAAACGCAATGGCAAAGGCAAGAGCAGAGGAACCAGCAAGGAAGCATGGAATCGCAGTTACTGGCACTGAGAAAACGGAGCAGCGGCAGCAGCTGACCCAGCCAGCAGCCTAACAAGCTCAAACGATACGCCGTAGTCACCTGTGATTCGTCCGCTGGCTAAGTCAGCTGCTGCGCCGCTTGTGGAGTGGGACGAGCGCGTCAAACACAAATCCACCGCCTTGCCAGCAAAAAACTCTCAATGCCTCCTGTCTTGGCAGAACCGGGACACCTGCATGGTCCGGGCAGACAGTCTAGTGAGTTGCCAGGCGTGGGCTGCCGAAGCATTGGCCGTGCAGGAGGTGCCACTTGTCATCAACGTAGATCTTAAGGATTTAAAGTTGTGCAGGCCTTTTTGACATAGGGCAGGCAGCATTTCCAAACCTGGTATGTTTGTTGCTGTCGCTTTCCTGAAGTCTAGACTGCGCTTCAGTTTTGTGTCATGTGATGTTGTGACTGCCAGAGCTGTGCAGGCTCTGGCCCGGGCTGCAGGATGTTTGAGGTAATCGGAGGACCTAGGTGAGCATGAACGCAACAAGCCGAAGGCAGCCGGCCATGGGTAAGGGTTACAAGCTTCAAAGACAAAGGGACAAAAAGGACAAAGCCATCCTTCCTGGGTGGTACGAGCCATGCTGCAGACGCCGGAGATTTCATCCTCGGCTCCTCGACCGCTGCTTTGGTTCTGTCGCGCTTTCATTTTTGGGGGATGCAGGGAGCAACGAGAGGATTTTGCGTGGTTCTGGCAGCAAGATTAGGTCATTCTGTGCAAGGAGCCTCTTTCCAGACAAGTCAGCTCACCTAGCAAAAGTATGCAAAAGTGGGGGTGCCGGCAACTGAGGCAAGTTGCTGGGACGGTGCGCTCACCCGATCCCTCTGTTGCTACGGCCGCCAAGCTTCAATCCGGATCTTCCATGAAGATACCCCCAGCCCCTAAACCCTAAACCCCTAAGCCCTAAACCCATGAGCTCAGAGTCCCGGCCCAGGCGGAGGCAGTCAGTGCTTCGATCGCACCTTCAGCTTCGAGCGCTGCTGCGCGCCCCGGGAGGTGTCCGTTGGACCCGAGGCGAAAGAAGGGGGGCTCTTCTTGAGGGCTTTGGCAAAGTAGGCGGCTTCCATCTCTTAAGCAATCCAGACTAAAGGGAGGCAGCCTCTAGCGGCCCAAGACCGTTGGCGGACTTGTCGATGAACGGGTCACCAGCAATAGGAAGTCGTGCCGCAAGATTCAGCTTTAACATGCTCTGTCTCCAACAGGCCTTCGCAGGCTTCTTGTCTTCCGCAGACGAGCTGTTTCCCAGCTGCTTGGCTCATTTCATTGCGTGTGATCTGTGCGTGCGTCCGGATGGATGTTCTGATGTTATCCCAAGACCTCAGTGCTGCCGAACGAGCGAAGTCCGAACTCAAAAAGGCTTCGAGCCCGACACCGAAAATTCCAAAGCAGCCTGCCCAAATCACGAACGAGGCTTTCTGACCGAGCTCCGCGAAGCGCATGCCCGGCCGCAGCCCGGGACGCGCCCAGCGGCCAATGCGTTGAGGAGAGGATGGGGCTTGAAGGGTGAAGTGGAGCGGTAGAAGAGGCTTGAAGCTTGTTGTTTGATGTTGGCTGGCTAAGGGCTTCCCCTGAAAGCTCTTGCTTTTTGGTTGGATGCTAGAATCCCAGTCAGGGTTGAGGCGGAGTTTGCGAAGAAGTGTTGTCGGGACTGATGGTCATTGCCGCGTGAGTGAAGTCAGGGAATCCCCGCCGCTCAGGACCCTCCTCGATTCTTTGGCAACGGTTGTCAATGCATCCTGGCAGAGAGGCCTGTAGCGGTATGTTTTTCTCCTCTCTCCATTTCTTCTCCCATTCCGTGTACAAGAACAACAGGACAACGTGCATGCTTTTCTCTTTGCTTTCAGCTCTCTGCGGTTGCCCCTCGCTTTGCAGATTCTGTCGGCGTCAACATCTCCTTGGACGGGCCCTGGTACCATCTGATGGGCTACTTTGCCCCGCGGCTGGAGTTAAGTCAGAAGCTTGCGCCGTGTGCTGTTTCTATGGCGGTTTTTCCTTGCAGGTGACGCTGGAAGCCTTGCGGTTCAAGATTCGGCCCAGCATTCGCAAAGTGCTCGTGAGGACCAAGTCATGTTGGGAGGGAAGAGATCCTGGACCCTAAGCCCTAAGCCCTGAACCTGAACCCCAAACTAAACCCTACTACACCCTACACCCTAAACTCCCTAAGCCTTAAACCCATAGCCACGAGGAGAGAAGCGGCCGTCTGGAAGCACTTTGGGCACCTGGTCCGAACTTTTTGGGGCTGCTTGGCCTGCAGTGAACGCCGTCCAAGGGACAGGACCTTCGCTCAAACTGGCAGCCAGGGAGTCCAGGCTCAGGATTCGCATTGAGGTTAAATTTAAAAGACTTGGAACACTCCGCACAAAAGTAGGAAATGACCGGGCTTCGTCCCGACATGTTTGCACATCTGACGTGCGACGTCAACGCCACATCGTCAGTTGCCCACTGCACAAGATCAGCGCCGCAAGGAATTGAAAGTATCGCTGTAATAGCTGATTGTAGCAGAATCAATTGGTCCGTGGACCGAGGATTCACTGACTTCT